GACCCCGGCCCTCACGGCCAAAAAAAACAGACCGGCCCACCGGGAATTCTCCCGGTGCTTTCGATTAGCCAATCCAGGCCTGTATATATATATATATGAGACAATATATTATATAGATACAATATTATATAAATATATATATTATTAATAAAATTATATATATATATAACATTAATATTTAATGTTATATAAATATGTATTATAAATTATATATAAGTTTAACAATATATATTATATAGATATGTTTTAAATATTTTACACACACACACACACACAGTATGCAAGTATATACATACCTCATGACGCAGCATTATGTGTAGTATATTCTGACTTAAGTAATCAAAATGTGGTTTAATCTGAGGTAGAAACTGAGAGCTGAGGTGACGTACCAGATATGGCGGTCCTACACACAAGATGTGTGTATGAGAAATGAAGAGTAGAGTTTAGCATGAAGTATGACTCAAGTATCCGCCTGGCCTTCTCGCTGACATCATAAAAGAGGCGGGCACTTTTTAAAGGAACACGTCCCTCATAGCCATGCTGCAAAGATAAATAACAAAGAATTAATTATTAATATTATAATATTCATGACTGTTTAATTACTCACGACTCTTTGTCCAATCAGAATGTACATAAATCTTTAAAAATAAATAAATATAAATTGTAATTATAAATTCATTTACATTCCAAATAACACAATATACTGATAAGAAATATTAATTCAAATTTTACTCAATATTTGAGTGTGCTACGTATTTTTCATGCTGTTAGCTTTTGGCTGTTTACACTTTACTGTAATATTGGGTTCATGTGTCACACTATCTGTAAACACACAAGTGTCAGTCAATGTTAAAAACTACTAACCTTCAACGTTTTCAATACTGTCGCCCCTTCGAATTTCTCATTTGGTGTGTGAGGAGACATTTTCCCCTTGTAGCCGTCACCAGCTGCAGTGACACTCTAAGGAAATATTGAGATAACAACCCAAACTTAACTGTAAAGTTACAGTACATCTGACATAAAATGAAATAAAATACTATATCACATGAGCTGATTCGTTTTAAGACACTGAGAATGACACAACAGAAGTAAACTCTCACGTGTGCCAGATGTTTGAGCTCAGAGCACTCGTCCTCACTGATGACATCATCAAAAAGCGCCCTCTGACTCCCATTCAGGGTGACAGAGTTCTGTACAAGTCGTACATTCTCATACAGCAATGGACCTCCTGTATACACATGTACACATACAACCACAAATTTACTTTTAATAACCAATAAAAATGGTAAAACACTGAAACAGTAATAGAAATGTTACTAATGTGCTGAACCAGTATATTGTAACCAGGCTGATTTGTGAACTGAATCAATTGGTTCATTGAAAACAATCAACTTTTTTGCCATTTTTGTAGCTTTGAGGTCTCTATATGCCAGGATTTTCATATTTGGTTGAATTACTCTAACTCTTCTCTAAATATTATTCTAACCTATTTTTAGTCCCTCTTCTTGCTTTTTGTCCAAGTTGTTTATGGTTATGTATCTTGCCTTTTACAATATTTTAAGTTCATTTAAAAGTCAGAAACAGCATATCACCTTCCCGCAGCTCTTGTAACACAGACATTGTGACATTTCTCTTTGCTGATATTGGCACATAGTCCATCCAGCCATTGGTACCAGAAGGAATCCTAATGACACATAATTCAAAACATAAACTCTGAACATTATCAGTGTGTTTTATTATATTCATGAAAACGCCTACCTGTTAGCATCTTCTCTGCCACCCGAACTGCTCCAGTAGTTCTGAGGAGAAACAACAATCAGAAGCATATATTAAAAACTCTTTAGTTATGAAGAGCTGTGCCTTTATAATAGTTGGGCTTATTGATGATCCCACCACAAGGGGGCGATGTAGGCTAATTGTTTAATCTCAAATATTACAGGAGCACCTGTTCCTGTCATAGCTGTTACTAGACTGAAACATTGTTCATTCCCTATGCCTACATGGTACATTTGAACTATTTTACAATATTTGATTCCTCATACATTTACAAAGTGAACTCTTAATTAAATCGGCAAAAATTTTGTTTTCAAACAGGCTTCCCCTGTCTTCCATTGGTTGAACAAACAGATAATCCCGTCCAATGTAGCTCTATCAGGTTGGTTAGGATTATCAAACAAACAGCAATGTTTTGAAACATCTACACTTAAAAAAGTGAAACGACCATGTCGTTTAATCATGGTTTCTGGTTTAAACCTGTTTTCCCCACAGTAAAAAACAAAACAAAAAAACAATGAAAAGAAACAATTTTGTTTAAATAGTATTTTTGCTTGACAAAAAAATAAATAAAAATTGTCACTGGCCAATTTTACCTGACTGCAGAAATGATTGTGGGTTTTATTTTTATTTTTTATTTTTTTGTGTGTGTTTTTGTCAGTACATAACAGAAAAGATGATGCATATTTTAAAAAGACATCAAAACTGATGGACTTTCAAAGTGAATATTCCTGCCTTTATTTATTAAAAGTAAATTAAATGAAACATTGATAAACAAAATGCTTTAGTTTTATCTTAAGTGAAAATTATACTTTCATATTATAACTAATTTAGCTTTTGTTCGTGGTTAAATTAATTTGTAATATATATATATATATATATATATATAGACCTACATTAAGTAACGATATGACTTTTGTATAAAGAAAACACGGGCTTTATAAGAAAAAAAACTTTTTACTTTGCATGAATGCCAATTTTTGTTGCTGGAATTATAAATATTTTTTATTATTATTAAACCTAATTTAAGGTTTGAGCGGAGCCTTAAATATAATTTGAGAAAAAACTAATACATATAGCTTAGGGTATTTTTTTTTTTACTTAGTCCGTTTTTTTTTTTTTCAATGTACACTTTTTTTTTGAGAAATCAACCTACAAATTACTAGCTTATAAATGTCTCTGCATATTAAACTGGTATAGAAAGAAAAAATGGTAGACTTGAGCTTTAGAAAACCATTTCTGGTTCATTTTGTGTACTTACTGCTTCAATATAGGGCACTCCAAGATTACTGCTGCCGATGAGCAGCAGGTCTAACTCCTGTTTGTGCCGCTTTAGATACTGTTCAGCTTCCTGTGGCATAAAAAAAAGCATAGTTAGACTGATTATATTTCCTACATGCTGTAGGTTTAAGATTATGGCCCTAATTATTTTATCTCCCAAACATCTTGTTTACAACACAACAAAACCTGAGGGATGGATGGCGTAGTCTCAGTCTAAAATCAAGCTCGTTCCACAACCTGTGCGATTTCTCTTGCCATTTTCCAAGACTTTTTATTAGTGGTCTCTGGCACTCATTTAAAGCAACTTGTTATAACTGGAGCAAAGTCTGCTGCTTCTAAGTGTGGTCGAGACCACATGAAATGGCAGCCTAGGTGCCCTTTTGGGGGAAGAGTTACATGGGTAGCATTTGCGGCTTTGTGTTCTTCAAATGCAAACAGCTCTCAAATTGTTTCAGGGAGCTTTGCGGTGTTTCAGTGAAAATTTCTACTCAGCTCCCTGTTCGAGAAGACTATACTGTCAGCACAGTATCTCGGCGGCGGGTTAACAAGGTCCCGGAGAAACTAGAAATCGGGCAATCAGACATGGCAGCAAGCCCATATAGATGGAAACACTCTGCAATAGGGTGGAAAAGAATGTACTTGGTTGTTATGAGCTAAGAACTGAAGGATCTTGCAGTGAAAGACGTATTGATGCCCTCTGGCACTTGACTTACCAAACTCATATGGCTTTTACAGTGCTAATAGCTTCCAGGCTTTCCAGCGAAAGACTCTTTTGGATAGTTCAAGAGTGTGTGCAGCTATTACTGTACATCTTGGATACCAAACCCACTAAACACATGATTATTCTAGTGTGTTTATGCACGCTGGCATCCTGACAAATTCTGCACTTGGGGAATAAGTCTACTAAAACAAAAGCTTCAAATGGCATTACAAGAACTATCACCTTATGAATTTGAACTTGCTCAATGTCGATTGATGCTAATGTAAGATAAGTTACTTTAAAGACAAGCATCAACTAAAAGGAAAATTTGTAAATTGGGTCTATCTCAGGAGACTTTGAGATTGAGAACAATAAACGTCTCTGTAAGCAGTCGATCAATGGCTCGTATCAAGCAAATTTCAAATTGCAAATTTCCACTATCATGACTGTCATATGGCATCTGCTTCAATGAAATAAGAATGTCTGAAATATAGAAAAGGAATTAATTAATTAATTTATTTATTTTTTTTAAATGTCATTTGGTGCATCCAAGTAAAAATACCATATTTTATCTTGAAGACATGTGAGTGTCAGGGTTATTATAATTAAAGAGATAGTTCACCCAAAAATGAAAATTTGATGTTTATCTGCTTACCCCCAGGGCATCCAAGATGTAGGTGACTTTGTTTCTTCAGTAGAACACAAAGAAAGATTTATTTTTTCAAATGGACCATTGACACTCTATCTACAATCTCAATTGGGAGTGTCAATGGTCCATTTGAGAGATAGGTGGCGGTAATGCACTTATAAGTCTGC